ATAGAGGACAGTGAGTTCCAGAGGCAGGGCAGGGAGGGCAGCCGGCAGCCCTGTGGGCACAGCCAACCCAACAAGAAATTTAGCTGGCTAGGAATAAACAGCTGTTGCTCAGGTACCAACACATGGCTTGGTGACAAGAGAAGTGGTTGGCAAGAAGTTTTTAGTGATTTTGGTGTGATTTAGCCCCTGGGAACTGCAGTGCCCAGACAGACAGCATGTGTCAGCACTCCAGGTGCCAACACTGCTTTAGACATCCATTCCCCAGCTATCCAAATGCTGCAGACCTCCAGGAGTTAGGCCTTTCAGCTCTCCCAGAAGAGCATCAATAGCCTACTCTGTTCCAGTATACATCCACCCTTTCACACACTGTGTCTCTCTTCTTATCACAGAATGGGTAAGGCTGGAAGGGACCAGAGTGGCTCATCTGGTCCAACCCCCTGCTCAAGCAGGGCCATCTTAGAGCATGTGGCACAGGATTGCATCCAGATGGTTTCTGAGTATCTCTAGTGAGGGAGACTCCACAACCTCTCTGGGAAATTTGTTTTAATGTGCAGTCACAAGGGTAAACTTATTCTTCATGTTCAGGTGGAACTTCCTGTGCATCAGTTTCTGCCCACTGCCTTATGTCCCAGTGCTGAGCACCACGGAGCAGAGCCTGGTCCATGTTCTGACACTTCCCTGCAGACATTGACAGACATTGATGAGGTCCCCTCTCAGTCACCTCTGCTCCAGAGTGAACATGCCAGATTCGCTGAGGCTTTCCTTATAAGAAAGATGTTCCAGTCCCCTAATTATCTTCCTTTCTCTCTGTTGGACCTTATACAGGAGCTTCGTGTCTATCTTGCACTGAAGAGCTGAGAAAACTGGAAATAAGGCTGCCTCACATTGGGCTTTCTCTGCACCACATCTGTGTCAGGAAGCCTCTTCCCTGACTTCCCACGGAAAAGCCTGCCTCACTTTTTTTGTTTACAGAAACTCCAAAGCTCTGCCCAGCAAGTTAAGGTGAAATCTAGGGCTGGACAGTAACCCTTTTGCTGGCCCAGGTCAGCATGGGGAACCAGGGATCATTTCACCCTGGCTTGTTTCCAGCACTAGGATACTGGAGCTGCTACTGGAGAAGTAATATTCATAAACTAAACACAAGAAGCTCCACCTCAGCATGAGGAAGAGCTTTATGCTGAGGGTGGCAGAGCACTGCAGCAGTTCCCCAGGGAGGTCCTGGAGTCTCCCTCTCTGGAGACATCCAAACACCACCTGGATTTGTTCCTGTGTCACCTGCCAAGGTGGCCCTGCCTTGGCAAAGGGGTTGGACTGAGTGATCTGATCGTCAGAGGTCCCTTTCAACCCCGATGATTCTGTGATTAATTCCTATGTGGGCCCCGTTCAGCACTGGGAACCGTTTCACCCCGCCCCCTTTGCGTTTGTTTCCAGCACCAGGATACCGGAGCTGCATCCCGGTGAACAGAGGCGCCAGGGAGCCAGTGCTCACATGCCCACACGCTTCAGGCCCAGGACAGCAGCGGGAGGTGAAGGCGGGGCACGGCGGCCGCCACTCACCGCGGATGCTCAGGAGCAGCTTCCGGAACTCGTCTCGCTGCTGGCGCCGCACCTGCCGCGCCTCTCCGCCGCACTGCGCCGTCTGCAAGGGACGCACTTACCGCCGGCCCGGCTGGGGAGCTGCACAGGCGGCAGCCCCGCGGCTCGGGGAAGGGGGGAAGGAAGAGGATGTGCCGCACCGTCCAGCGCCCGACCAGCGCCCGGCTGTGGGCAGCCCAGGCTCGCAGGCAGCCCCGTTCTCGCTCCGGCTCTGGCTCTGGCTCCGGCTCCGGCTCTGGGTCAGACCGGCGCCGCCGCTTCATGGCCGCCGCCATCGCCAGCCCGTTTTCCCGCCCTCGCCGCCGATTGGCGGGAACGGCCGTCACCAAGGCAACAGGGAAGCGCCGGGCCGAGGGGGGGCGCGCGGGGAAGGCGGAGGCCGCGGAGGGACAAACTTCGGCGCAAGACGAAACCGCCAGTCACAAAATCAGCTACAGAATACCCCGAGCTGGAAGGGACCCATCAGGTCAGCGAGTCCAACCCCTGGCTCCATGCAGAACCCCACAAGAACCACACCATGTGCGCTATCCAAACGTTTCTTCAGCTCCGGCAGGCTTGTAGGTGTGACCCCTACCCTAAGGGGCCTGTTCAGTGCCCGAACACTCTCTTGTAGAAGAGCCTTTTCCTAAACCTCTTGAGTCGTGGGACCCAGTTCAACCTAAACCTCCCCTGACACAGTTCAGGCCATTCTCTCGGGCCTGTTGCTGTTTCCGCAGAGAAGAGTTCAGTGCTTAACTCTCCATTTCCCCTCAGGAGGAAATTGTAGATAAGGCTCCAAAGGAAGGAGACCCCAGACAGGTCGGGGAGAGCGACTGAAGAAGGAGACGACACAGCTCTCCTTGTCTCTCACCGTTTTATTTGCAGACATCATTTTCACAGCTGTCCAGAGCCCCGTGACACCCTGGGACAGCAAACCACACACACCTCCCCCCACACCCGATTATTAATTAATTCATTATGCAATTTAACAACACAGCAACCCCTCCCTGGCTGCCTCACTGGGTTGGTCATGCCGTACCCAGGGTGTCAGGTGAATAAGCACAGCCAACTTGCCTGTTTTGGAGGGCTTTTGGAAAAGAAAAAGGCTCTGCTTCCCAGCAGAGATTTGAGCATGGCTTCCACCTTCCAGGTGTAGCTGCTGGATGTGAATGAAAGCATTGACAGCCAGATATGTAGATACCCAGGAAAGTGTAGCACCACGCTGCATGCAGAGCTCCCAGTTTGCTTTCCACAACTGGGTCCATCCCCGTTTTTTTTCCCAAATGAGGGACTGAGGTACAAAGAGGTTAATAAAAAATAAAACAGTAATCTTGCTCCAAGCCATATGGTGCACTGAGTCAGGGTTCAGAGGAGAGCAGGGCTCTCTCTCCCCTCACACTGGCACTGCTGCTTCCTGAGGGGAAGGGGGGACATGCACACCGAGACTGGGACTGTGCCTTGGCATTAGAAAGCAGCCTGAAGAGTTGAGGGAAAACGAGAGAGAGATGGGACAGGGGAATGGCTGTGGGAACAGGGCTGGAGCAAGCCCTGGGCTCCCTGAAACACTGCCATCCCTTGGGATCCGTGTTAGCCCCACGGACCAGAGCTGTGGGTGCTCCTAACACTCACAGCTCTTCACAGTGGCTGCAGCTTTTGGTCACTATTTTCTAGGCAGCAAAAAAGAGACACAACTCAATTTTTGTTCTGTGCCAGGACCATGGGACACACCATGGTTCTGAGCCACGGAAGTTTCCCAATGGCTCTCCCCTGCCAAGAAACACGTGCACAACATTTGCAAAGCCCAAAGTGCAGAAAGATTGTGTAGTGCAGGATGAAAACTGCTCAGCTGAGCACTCTGTCCCCTATCACACTCAGCCCAGAGACACAGGGACCAGAAATAAACCACCTGGAATAACTCATCTAGGAGAGCCAAGCAGGTCCCTACAACCTCTTTGGAGGGATGTGGGGCAAAACCTACTCCCCAGCACATCAGATTTCCCAAAAAGCCTTGGTTTGGACTAGGAGGCAACCCCCTCCTGGGGTTTTAAATCAGCAAACACAGCCCTGTCTGCTCTAGCATCAGCAGCATGATTTGCTTCCAAGGTCAACAGGCCCTAGACTGGCACTAACTCTATAATCCCCAACATGCTCAGAAGAATGGCAGCCAAATAATCAGCTTCAGGGCAGCTGAGGAAGGCTGACAAAGACTGAAACAGTCAGTGAAGAAAAGCAAAAGCATCTCCAGCCCTTGGAAAACTCATCTTCGTGAATCTGAAATCTTTGGTGTAGCAGCCAGTCTGCCGTGTCCAAGCAGCCAGCACTCCGTGGCATCTCCGCAGTGACAAGTATATATTTGCAGCTCTTCTACTGCAAGTTTTGTCTAGTCTCTGGTGAGACAAATTTGTCCCTTGTCCCTCTCTGCTCTTCCCGAAACCACTTCCCTGCTCCTGGGACCACGAGCCTACACCTGGCAGAGGGGTGAGGAGAGGATGCCCAATCCCTGTGTGAGTGCTCCAACCACAAAGAGCAGGCGTGAGAAGGCTCAGCTGCACTGAAGTGACCAGTGAAAAGAGGAACAAGTCCCAGAGATGGAAGCCAAGGGGCCTGGGTGGCAGCTGTGGGCATGTCAGGGGCCAGTCCTACACTATCAGTGACCGCAGGGACTTCTGCCAGCACAAATACAGGCAGGCAGAAAACTGCTGAGCAGGTTATGAGATTACAACAAGACTAGTTTGAGCTCTGGCCTTGGGGTTAAGCAACATGCCCTATCCAGATTAACCTCACATCAAATGAAAATTTACTGGGTAACTGCTACCCCCACCCCCTCCCTCCTCCCTATATCACTGCACCCCTCATTCTTTCAGAAGCATACAGCCACCAGGGAGTCAGCTTTCAGCACAAAACCCATTTTTAAGGGTGTGACTGCATAAGCCCATTTTAATTGTGGGCTGATGCATTCCTGTAGCTTCTAGCTTCCCTCACTGTTTGCCACTACCCCTTCCTTGTCCTAGCACTGGTGTTGTTCATCCAGGCAGTGAGGCAGGCCAGGGTGTGATGCCAGCTACAAACCAGTCCCTGGTTGTGTCAGGTGAAACTGAGCAGGACCACAGAGCAGAGGGCATGAAAGGCTGAGGTAGCAGAGAGCAGCCAGCAGATCAGGAGCAGGTCAGGCAATGGAAACCTAATATTAGAACAGTTTAAGCCTCCCTGGAATTGCATCTGTACACCTGAGCAGGCATTTTGCAGGGGTAAATACAAAATTCCACCTGCCCTCAAGATCCACAGCAACTGGGCACTTGGGGAAAATGGCAAGAAATGAAATAATGAGAGAGATTTTTTTCCCTGGGACTCCGCAGGGCAGAAGAGAGGAAGAGTCTGGAGTTACGCTAACAGTCTGCAGTAAGGAACTCAAAAAGGGGCAGACATGGTGCATGAGTTAAAAATTAATGGGATTGGGCAAATATCATTGCAGAAATCCCAGGCAAGCAGTCCTTGGCTCTTTCCAGAGAGGAAAGAGACAAAAGGTTTCATAGCACCAAGTAATGCCACACAGTGGTTCAGGGCAGTAAGGGATCCCAGCTCCAATGGAAACTGCACGAGGAATTGAGCTGGGATGTGGCCAGGCACCATGGTCACCATCCTCTACCTGTGCCCATAAAGAAAGACCATGTCTCCCAACTGTGAGCAGTCAAGGGCGTGTTTGGCATAGCTTACCTGTGGCTTGAAGTCTCACAGAGAATGCCAAGGCCAAGAGGGAGACAAGCCCCAAACATGGGATCATGGATGTGACTGATTGCACTTGGTCCATAGCACCCAGCACACACAATGACACCAGTAAGTTAAACCACTACCCAAAAGAACTGATGCCTGCTCCAGGCTTTCAAGTGGCTGCTCCCAGGCTCTGGAGCTCACACCAAAGTTACTCCTGCAGCTGGGACAGCTACTCAAAGTTCCCCTTTCCTGCTAGCCAGGCTCAGTATGGGTGTTAGCCCATATTCTGTCAGTACATCCTACTGGCATCTTAACTGTTCAATCAACAGCCAGCAGGGACCCTGACAGGTTGAGAACAGAAGTGGAGAATTTCTTGGTCATGCACACAGTTGTCCCTGCTACCACTGGCCCAAGCTAAGCCTGCAGTACAAGGCAGGCCAGAGTGCTCCCCACTGCACCTCACAGGGTTGAGGGGAACCAGGAAAGTGGGATTGAGTGTAGGGCAAGAGAAGTCTCACTTCAGAGCAACTGACTGGCTTTACAGAGCAGTAGCTGCCACCGAGGCTCCAGGAACTATCTGCACAGAACCACGTGCAGCGTGATTCCAGCATGAAAACCGAGCACGTGAAAACGAGTGGTGGCTGTGGGACATTCCCTCCCCTTCCATCCTCCTCTCCCCTCCTCAACAGGCCCCATCCCGTGAGTCTTTGCACAAGGTGACACCTTGCTGGCTGCTGAAGCCTACCAGCTGCACATTGTGGCAGGTGTCAGGAAAGTAGCAGCAAGACCCCCGTTGGTGTTTCTCCAGAGAAGCACTTCAGGACTCTTGCTTCTTGGGCTCCTGCAGCAGAGCCTTCGTGCTGCCAGCAAAAGCCCAGTGAGAGCTCTGACCTCCCCTGCTGAGAAACACCATCCCCATGAGCCAGGAACAGTTGGCTCCAGTCCTTTTGTTCAGCGCAGCAGCAGGGAGCTGGGGATAATCCCTGACTGCTGTTGGCAGGCACTGTTTGCTGGCAGCTCGTGTATCCCTCCGAGCCCGAGGGAGGCAAGGAGGCAACCACAGCCTCGGCCAACGAGCAGGTCAGGCTCCTCACGTCTCCAAGGCTACCTCAGCCGAAGCTGGCTGAACCAGGTGCTGACAGCACAGTCCACACGCATCACCAGGGAGATCCCCAGCAAGAGGCAGATGCTGCTCACCACAAAGCCCAGCGACTCAAAGAGGAACCTGCAGGCACAAGAGATGCAGTTAAGGACATGGCAGCCATCATGACTACAAAGACAGGCTGCTACCCTCCAGCTGACTGATTTTCCTGACAATGAGAGGCTGGAAGTATCCCACATCCTAAAATCTAAATTACATTTACTCCCCAGCAGTTGCTGCCTGAAACCTGTAAGCCAAGCACCTGTCTGGTTTACAGGCCACTCAGGACCTGCTGATTCAGGTGGGACTGTGAATCCCTCAGAGGCTGAGGCCATCCTTCACACCAACTAGTTCAAAGGTTTGGTGATTCAGCATTTCTGGGTTTATCACTTCTGGTCTGGTATCCTTTGGCTCTCTGACTACAACAGTCTCAGCTTCCAGGTGGGCTCTGTGTGGCCTTGGAAACTAAGATGAGGAGAAACTTCTAGCCTCCAGCTCAAGTCTAGCTTCTGAATTTCAAACAGGAATTAGTTAGGGATATTCCTATAACCACTAGTAGGTAATGAGTCAGAAGATCAATCACAGGGTCTCTTCCAACATTACTGTCTGTGAACTCTAGTCAAGGTGACAGGGATATGAGTCTTAACCCTGCATCAGAGCAACTCCTGGGACTTACTTTGGGGCAAAGACCTTCCAAACCATGAGGTGTCTCCTGAGGATCATAGCTGCACAAACACAGGACAGAAGCTGTGGGGAAGATCAGGAAAAACAAGTTACAGGTGACTCTAGAGAGACCTCCTGGGCACTAGGTTCATATCTGAAGGTGGTACTAAACTGCACGTGCCTGGGAGGCTGGCAGAGCACACTCTGGAATGAGCATCCTAAAGAGGACTCCCTTCCATGATATCCTCAAGTCAGGAAACACTTGAGGTACATGCACGCCCTTGTAGGGCCAGGCTGGGGCAGCACGGGGGGGGCTCACACTGTGGCTAACCTGACCTGCAATTTCACTGAGAAAGGCACTGCTGCTCTCCTGCTGCAGGGCTTGCCCCTCCTCTTGCACTGTCTCTGGTCTGACAACACAGGAGAATGATTTGAAGATATGAACCCCAGAAAACTGTCCACTTCTTTCACAGGATTAAAATTTCTGGTGTTTAGCTCCCTTTATCATCACAGCACATATGAATATCAGAACTGGTGTGAGATAGGAATGTAAAGGAAGATAGACAGTAGGATTACAGCAGCTGCAACTCCTGAGCAGACTTCCCACTCAAGGCATATGGGTATGAAAAGCACCCTAATCTGTATGGCAGCTTCCATGCTGGAGCCCTCCCCAAAGCACAGAGTAAATGGCATGGCTGAGAAGGGACTCGTTTTTCCACCTGCAAACAGACACTCCACCCCTGGGCCTGTCTGTATCCTGGCTGACACCTTTCTCTCATCAGAGTGCCCCACAGGTATCAAAGCACACCAATTTCCTCCTAGACAGCCCTTCCCACAGCCACCCTGTCTCTGCCCGTACCTGTGCCCCAAGGACAAAGAGGTACTTCAATCCCAGCCGCAACAGAGCAGTGGAGAACTCCTCTGGAGACTCCCGCAGCCTCATTTCCATCATGCGCTCCTCCACCTCCTGCAGCTCATCCCGGGACTCCTTCTTGGGCTTCCTCCTCTGTGAGTTGGACATCTCACACACAAAGGGCCACAGCAGGAGCAGCGGGCAGCCAACTACCTCAAGGACAAAGGTACATGAAGTTACTGGAGCCCAGGAGGTGAGGAGCAGTCTAGGCTCTGCCATCCTGTCCTGGATGTGCAGGAAGCACAGACCCCAGCTTCAGGCCAGGCTGCTGTGGCCCTACAAGGGGAACAGCGAGGATGCTGTTGCTCCAGTGAGGTGCTGGAGCCTTTGTTGCCTCGTGCTCAAGCTGCAGAGCCCCAGGCAAGGCACTGCAGTGAGCTGTGTCTGCTTGAGCTCCACAGCCCAGGAAGAAATTGATTTACCTGCAAAGAGGATATGGGAGGCAAAGGTGTTGGCGCCCACCAGCACAGCAGGCAGGAGGTTTGTGCCGTGATCAAGGTGGAAGCCAACAAAGGCAGCATTCCAGTGGATGGCTGGGAAGATAGGCTGATGGCCTGTGGAATAGAAGAACTGTGAAGCAGCAAGGAGCCAGGAGATGACTGCATACCACGGCACTGAAAACAGCTCTGAGAGAATAAAAGACAAAAAGAGAGGCAGGGGTTGGGGATATTAGCATCAAGGAACAAGACAGATCCATGGTCAAAAAAAAGCCTAGTGACCTTTCTTCCCAGGCTCCCTTGCCATGTTGGCTCTTTCAAGAGACTGGAAACAGTCCAGCTCCCTCCAGATATAGCAAGGGGCCTTGCTACTGCACTCTGTCAGCACCAGTGGGGTTTGGTGACTGTTCACATCCTGGGAAGAAGAGAGCTCCTTTCCCTGACCCAAGACACTCCTCCTCCTCCCACGTTCACATCCCTGCTGCATCAATCTTTCTTCTACTAGAGGATTTAAGCAGGTCTAAAAAAGCTACGAGTATCCTGAGGATCAGTGCACCACTATTTCCCAAGACTATGAACTAGATTCTGCTTCTCCCGCTGGAATTAAGGCAAGGTCACTGCAGGTGAGGCCCAGGTCACCCATCGGGGGGTTGCTCTACTGAGCCCAGACTCACCAGCATCTCCGGCAAGGCCTCTGGCACACGTGTGGATGTGCAGCAGCACAAAGGCCTCCACGAAGAGGAGCAGGAAGGCAAAGCTCAGCCGCTCGCTGTGCAGAAGCATCAAGAGGAAGGCCAAGAGGGTGAGGGCTATGACCAGGGCTGCTGAGTACACGCTGCCCAGCCCGTACGCTGCAACAGTGGCCCTGCAGCTGCCCCGCTCCAGCCGGCTCCTCTGAGACTCCTGCATCCTCTTGTAGATCTGAGGGATGACGTGGAGGAAGTCGACTTCGGAGCCAGGGACCCCCAGGTAGGGAGTGACGATGGATCCTGCTGACTCCCGAGTGTCCTTTGCAAACACCGTCACGGGATTGCATAGCAGGAGCAGCAGTCCCACGGATGCTAGTCCATAGACAGCCCTGGGAAAAACTACAACTGCAACCTGCACCAGCTCCTGCAGCTTGCCAAGAGAGTCATCAGCACTGGAGGCAACAGCCCAGTAGCAGGCAATGCAGAGGACCACCAGGGGGAAACCCCAGCGCACAAAGAGCACCAGGGGGTCCGAGCTGTTCAGGTTGCCGTAGTGCCTTAGCCAGCTCTGCACTGCATACACCAGCCCAGCCAGCAAGGCCACGCACACGAGGTAGAAGAGGTTCTTGGCCCGTGTGTTTCTTAGGCTGGCAAGCGGGGAGAGGAAAACAGAGGGCCGGCACTGAGGGATTTCTTCACGGCACTGGTGGAAGAAACTGGAGAGGCGCACACAGACGAGGAACATGGCCACGAGGCACAGCAGGTACCAGATCTCTCTCCGGTAAGAAGACAAGCCAAGGAGCTGCTGCTTGGGACCTTCTGGCACAGTCAGGCGACCATCCCAGTGGAGCTTCCCTACTAGCAACATCACCAGGGAGGCCAGCAGGAACGGGGCCACCCGTGCCTCGGCCACAACAAAGCTGTCAGAGAACATAGCTCCACAGCGGAAGAACAGAATGCCCATGGGGAAGGCCAGCCCCAGCCATGCTCGCAGCCTCTGCCTCAGGCCACCACTGGCCAAGGGTGGCTGGCTGCCTGTCAAACGGGCTCTCTTGAGATGCTGGCCCCACCAGTGCCAGAAAAAGCCCAGCTGAGAAGCAGCAGCTGCCCATGACGACACCAGGAGCAGATCCAGTCCCTCCTGGGTAAAAACGTGGACCAGCCATAGCAGGGCAGCCCCCACAGGGCCCCAGAAGAGTGGGTACAGGAGGCAGCTGCGACAGAAAGATTGTGAGGATGCGGCCAGCTCTGAGGCCATGTAGCAGAGCAAGCAGGAGGAAGCAATAAGGACGCAGCCCCCCACCATCCGCAGGGGGTGGAAGCGGGCCCAGGACTGGGTGCACACAGCCCGTGCCTCCCGCAAGTAGCGCTGGAAGCGACTGATGAGGCTTCCCAGCCTCGGCTCGAGCTCCGGAGGCACCGTCGTCCCCTGCACCTGGGCCAGGAGCTGTGTGTGCTCCTCCACAGCACTGGAGAAGAGCTCCTGCAGGTGCTGGAGCTGCTCTGCTGGCAGGTCCTGTGCCACCAGCGAGTAGGACTGCAGGAAGCGATCCACCTACAGGAGAGAAGACACAGGATCAGACAGCAGCACTGGGAAAACTGGGAATGGGATTCACTGCTTCACACTGCCCCTTCATAATGGAAACAACTTCAATTTACCAAACACTGCCAGGGCAGACCTGTCCCCCGTCACATCACCCAGGGCTGGTCACACAAATCCAGGATGTCATCATCAGGAAACTCAATCTGCCAAACTGACATCCCTCTCAAGAGATTCATCCATACATGTAGGGACACATACTGAGAAAGTAAGAAAATTAGAGCCTGAAAAATATCCCAGGCTGGAGCTTTTCAGCTCTGTTCCCAGCCGATAAGCTGGTCCAGCTCAAGGCTAGGGAGAACTTTTCCCAGGGTGATATCTTGGTCAAAATAAAAAGGAATTAATAACAAGATAGAACACCTGCTGTGGTGTGTGACCAGGCCCTGGGAATGGGGTGTCTTCTCTCTGAACCAATCATCTTTTCTCTGCTCTTGGAATCGCGAGTCATGCTATAAAACCAAGTGTGTTTCTGAATAAACTTGTCTCTTTCTTTCTATCATGAAAGATGACCATGTAGCTGTGTCTTATTTCCACCACACTTAAAGGATTAAAACCCCTTTCCACGGCTACACCTACAGACAGCCACAATGGCTCCTACAGCTACACCTCTGCTAATGCTGTGCATCACTAAAGGCTTTATTATAGAGTCCTTGGCAGCAATAAGGCAAAGAAGGTCAAATCATTACTATTAGTGACTTGTTAATCTGCACCCCATGTTCAGTTTTACGATTTTGTCTGAGTGGATGAAAGCAAATTGCTACTCATTCTTCAATACTAGCACATTAATACACTACACATAGCTTAAGGAAAGCTCATTCTTTTTGCTCTCTACTTCAAGAGGACATGAACAGAGACAGCTACAACCCCAAAGTCAAAAAAGTCTTACAGGGGCATTAGCAGGGCAGAGCATCTGCACACACATCCATTTGCTTAGCAGAGTAGATCCGCTATGCATCTATGAACCTCCTGAAATGCACCTGTAACTACACGCACCTTCCATTTGCCTCAGAGCACAGTCAGAATCATTCTGCCCCTGCATACGGAAGGCAGACACATGTATTGGCTCTCTCACAGGCCTTCCTGGTGGGGAAGAAGCCACAGGCCTTCCTGGTGGGGAAGAAGCCACAGCTTATTCAACACCACCGTTATCGAGCCAGAAACCTCCTCAAACAATGAGTGCAAATATTTAAACAGGCATAACTTGATAACACTAATTCCTAACAAATGATGATTGATATTCTCAGTGATTAATGAACACTAACATACAGCATGATCTTTAAATGTCAGAGCACTCCCCTGCTCTATAATTACAGAGCTGAGTATTTCTGTCTTCCCATCAGCAATCATTCTCTCCAGCTCCTCACTGGCTTGCACCAGTGGTGTCCAACTGGCACTTCAAGGAGCTAGTGTGGGACTGGAGGAGTTATTCCAGTGCTCCCAGCAATCCAGAGCCCCTCAAAGGCAGACTGCCCTTAGCTGAGATACATGCCTTGCAATACCTGTGGCAAGTCTGGCTCTGTAGCATGACCAGAGCCACAACAGATGGCACTCACATCACAGAGGCTCACACTTAGCCTGCTCCACTTCCTAGGTGTCTTTTACACTGGTGTAGAGACTCTCATTCAAATTTTGTCAATCTGCTCCTGGGGTTCTGCATTTTGTTGCACTTTGTATAAATTGCTTCTTCAATATCCTGCTTTAGTATTACCTGTTACAGGGTTATTTTTTTAATTTGGTCTTTCATTCTTTCACTAATCTAGAACAGTTTTTTTGTAAACATTGCTTCTCCTTCAAAACAGAAGCAGCAACAAAATCTGCACTTCATCTCCAATCACAACACTTGCCTCTGCTCATCTTTAGACTTGAGGAACGAGGATCTCCTATTACCTAATCCACTTCTGACCATCTGGGTCCAACCACCCTCCACCTTCCCAGACAGTATTTTCCAAACCACAGCACTAAACAGGTGGCTCTCATTTCTCTTTAGGAAAAATGAAGCTGTCTTTTACTGGAGCAAATACTGAAAGGATGTAATGCTTCAAGTATGTTCCCCATGAAGATAACAGCATGTCACCATCTCACCTCCACCTAACAGAAGAGGTTTGTGCTTAAAAAGCCATTCCTTCCCCCTCTAGCTCAATGGGAGGCCTACTACAGGCGTACCTGCTTGGCATTGATGTGATAGACTGAGAGCTGCTGCAAGGCTGCAGACACAGCATCACCGTCCCCAGCGAACAGCTCGGCCATCACCTCCCCGATATTACTGTAGGGGATGGGCACCCCCAGCAGCAAGGCCACAGTGGGCACCAGGTTCACTTGGGGAATGGTCTCAGGCTCCTGGAGAGACAGGGGAGGAATCAGAAATTCAGAGAGAACACAGCAATGCAGCTTTTCACTCATGTGAGAGGACAATGGGAAAGACATCCTGTTCAAAGGTGAATCCAGGCAGAGGCACAGCTCTGTTCTCCCCAAGGGTTCTGTGCTGACAAGCATGCCTGCTGGGAGCTGCAGGTTAATGGGAAAGGCACTGGATGTCCAACAGCTCACCTGGCCCCACACAAACCTCACAGCTGTAGTGACATGAACATGCATTCCAAACACTTCAGTCCTCTGCATCCTGTGTCAGCCCTTCCACTGTTCTCTTGAGACAAGGTGACAGACCCCTCACTCCTCTCAATCAAGGTGAAAAGGCAGGAAAGCAGCACCATTGAAAGAGACCTGGAGGTCCTGGCTGATGACAAGCTGAATGTGACACAGCAGTGCCCTGGCAGCCAGAAGGGACATCAGGGACAGCATTACCAGCCAGGCAAGGGAGGGGATTGTCCCTCTCTGCTCTGCACTGGGGTGGCCTCAAGTGCTGGGGGCAGTTTTAGGCACCAAAATGTAAGATGTTAAGCTAGTAGGAATCATCCAAATGATAGCCAGGAGGTTGATGAGTCTGGAGGGGAAGCCATGTGAGGGGTGGCTGAGATAATGTGGTCTGCCCAGTCTGGAGAAGAGGAGACTGAGGGGAAACCTCCTGCTGGTCTTCAATATCCTAACCAGGTGAAGAAGAGAGGCAGACAATGATCTCTTCTCTGTGGTAACTAGGGACAGGACCTGAGGGAATGGCGTGAAGGTGTGTCAGGAGAGATTTAGGTTGGATAGTAGGAAAAGGTTCTTCACTCAGAAGATGGTCGGGTACTGCAACAGACTCCCCAGGGAAGTGGTCACAGCACCAAGCCCAACAGAGTTCAGGATGTGATTGGACAATGTTCTTGGGAACACGGTGTGACCCCTGGGGTGTTCTGCGCAGGGCCAAGAGTTAGACTTGATGATCCTGATACATCCCTTCCAACTCATCTTATTCCATGATTCTATGACAGACTCCCCATCCCTCAAAGTCTGAAAAAATCCCAGTCACACTGTTACTCTCTATAATCCCAGGATGCAGTTTTCAGGCACCAACTTGGGCAGCTTCTCACCTCTGGAGGGCCACTGCCAAACAGGGGTGTCCTGCTGTACACAAACAGGGCTGCATTGACTTCCTTCTCGCTGTCGCCACCATGGTCTCCAGTTTCTGTCATGCCATGGTCCCCAGCCACCAGAAGAAGAGTGTCATTCCCCAGGTGATCCACCAAGGACCTGTCACCGAGATAAGGAAGGTCAACTCCTGGTCAAGGGCCCCACTAGCCTAGGTGGGAGAGGACATCGCCCCAACAAGCCTGCCTGCACCACAGGGGTGATGCCCACGAAAGGATATGAGCAAAACTAAATGCTGATGCAGAACTGTAACAAGCCAAGGACCACAGAGTTTTAAATTGTTGCTTTATAGTCTGAAAATTCAGAGAAATTTCAGTTGCTTTTAAGCTCTGAAAATTCAGAGCCCTAAGACAGAGTGGACCAGTGTTGCTTGGGCTCCCAGCAAACAGTGCCTTCAGGGATCTTTACAAAATGCAGCTCAGAAGAAAGATTCCTGACAAAAATAAAATCTTAGGCAGCTTCTATTTGGGTCATGTATCATCTAATGTGAGCCATCTCCCACTTCAAAGGAAAAACGCAGGGATTAGTCTCTGAAGGATGCAGTTGGTATGACACAGTATATGCTGTGCTCTCAGATACAGCAGGGCAGGTTACCAACTCTTTCTAGCAGCAAAACTTAAAGCAGTCTTAAGACTCAAAAGCTGCAGCATTTTGGGTTGAGACACATCTGCATGGCTGAAATTTTTGGATCCCATCCTGCCCTCTGACTCAAAGGTGCAGCTCATGGTTCTGTGTGGTAAATGCAGCAGCAATCATTTCCCAGTCAGGATCCTCCATCTGCTTCTCAAATGTTAGCCAGATCTCAGTGGGACAATCTCCATGTTAAGATGGAAAGAGCGAGGCTCAGTTGCACTCCAGCTGCACTATCATCTCATGGTTTGGTAGAGAACCAAGACCTGAAGGCAGCCTTACTTATGAAACCAAACCTCTCAGCACTCATCTATGCAAGCAATACTGCCCATAGCTGGAATAGGGGTTCCAGCTGCTGCTGGCTGAAGCTGTTTTCCATCAGGCTCAGTAAGCATTCCCTGTTCCCCTTTGCATCTCTCAATTCCCCGGGAAGATCCCACTAGTCTGGCTGAAGGAAGAGGCCAGATAGCAGCCCCTCAGCATCACACTAATCACCTGAGCATCTCATTCATCTGGGTGAGCTTCTTTGCCATCTCGGGATGGTCAGGTCCGTGTTTGTGTCCACAGTGATCCACGCCGAGAAAGTGAGCAATCAGCACATCCCATTCACCACTGTCCACTGAAGAACAAAAGCAAACTTATCACTCACCAGCCTGGAATTCTAAGCCTGAATCCTCCTGCCAGAATTTCCTGGTTGCCTCTGGATATTGCTGTTTCTTCCCCTCCTGCCATTGTCACTGCCAGCTCTCGAGGAAATTGATGAAGGTTTTAAACGAGGCATACTCTTGGCCAGAGGTTCCTGGGTGCAATGAGACCTCAAAACCTGGCCAACATCCCAGGATCCCTGTTTTTTCTCCCCGTCCTCAGGAGGGGAACAGTACAATGTCACACAAGTCATCTTGAACTTACCTCCAACTGCCACAGACTGAGCTAAAACAAAGGTATGCTCAGGAAAAGGAGAACTCAGAACTCCCATCCTTCCCTGGACATATTTTAGGCTGGACCCATCAATATGCCCGTCTGCATCCCACCAAGGACATGGGCATGACACACCAAAACAGTCCCTAGTTAGAAAGTTGCCCTGGCTTCTCCCTTATGCTTCAAGGCCTTGACACACGAAACAACATATTTGAAGTTAAATTATGAACTCACACAAGGCACACTGACTTGCCTGTGAAAGGCCACTGCACCCAATTTGCTTAGATTCGTACATAGAAAAATGAAAAAGCATTTCCCTTGGTTCCAGGACCTCAGGGAGGTGGAAATCACCTAAAATTCACAAACCAATTTCATGCTTCATCTTCTTCCCATGACTAAGAAGCACCAGTGCTTTGCTGAGAGCAGTGCTCTGTCTCAGCCTCCTAACTTGTGTTTTCCCCAGAGCACTGTGTGTCTGCCTAGGTAGCCATGTGTCAAAGTTAAGGTGCTCCTCTGTCTCCATCCCACCAATTTTGTAAGACAGATCTAGAAGTCTAACCTCATCCCAAAAAGCCGAATTCTATCCCAGACAGAGGAAAGATATCTACAGAAACTGTAGAACTGGCTTATCTCTGGAAGTGCAGCTAGAGTACTATAATGCTTGGGCAGCAGTGTGTAACTTCCCAGTGCTGCTTTGTAACAGAAAAAATCCTTCAGCCTCACCTCGAATTTGGAGGACTCCCAACATTAGGCCAAGGTTTATCCACACCCTGGTGAAACAGCCACTTACCAGTTGGATAGAGATGCTGCAGGATGCCATCATCCACAGTGTGAAGATCCTTCACATTAAAAGAAGGGAAGAAATACGAGCGGAAAAACTTCTTTGGGAAGAGTCCTTCCCACGTGTCATCACCCATGAAGACCACTCTCCTTCCTGAGCCAGAGAAAAAGGAACCAATGAGAGATGGAGCCCTCCTGAGTCATGCTGTTATCACAACAATCCAAAAAGCCTGGGCAGACCCAGGCCAGGATCTGGAGCAATGCCTCCCATCCAACCTTCACTCAAAACTTAAATTTTCACTAAAAAAAAAAGACCATCTCTCTGTAAATGACTTTGAATGCAGGGAACGACCAGCCCACAAGTATCTCTAAGCCCATTAGTGCCCCCCACACCAAACCCAGTGCATAACCTCAAGACTTATTGCTGACCTGACATGTCACCCTTGAAGAAAGGCTCTTGGGCCACCACAACACAGGTGGGTACAGAGGGTGCAGCATCAAGCAGACAAAGCCTCACCCAAGGCCTGTGACCCCACTGCAAAATGCAAGGCAGCAGGTGATGGAGTAAAAGCTGTGACTCCTGAGCTCTGCCTTTTAAACACAATGGTGATGATCCAGACTTGATAAGAGAAGGCAAAAGCACTGATGCTTCCCTCATCAGCCATTACTGCCATCAGCGAGCTATGTTTCCACAGAGCCTCTTCAACCTGGGAGCAGGAACCCTTTTCCCAGAGACTGCTACTGTGGCACAGATCTACTGGTGCATTTTGCCTCAGATGATTTACTGCATTTGCCCACCTTGCTCACACAAAGTCATGTTGCCTTAGCCCACTCTGAGCCTTGGGACAAAGTCTCCCTGGGTAACAAACCACTGTGGCCTGTCCTCTTCCCTCTACTCCATTATTCCACCATAACAAGCACTTTACAGCTGCACTAAGCACCCCCCAGCAGCACCAAACTATAAGGAAAAAGGAATTATGTTGCTGCCCCACAGCGGCAGGCAGCTGTCCAGGCAGGTTGGCTACGTGAGGGACACCCCCACAGCACACCTAGCACTACCTGGCACACCTGGCTCCTCCCCTGTCATGTGCCTCCCACGACAGGACAACAGACAGACTGCCCTTGGCTTCCTACAGGCGTTCCTGTGGGTGACCTTGGGACAAACACCATCAGTGCAGCCACTTCCACCTGCTTTCTCATCATCTTTGAAGATGAGGAAATTGAAGCCATAGTCACAGCTACTTCTCACTCCCAGTCCCAAGGTGGAGATGCCCTGCCTGCATGACAACCCTGCCTTAGGTAACTGTCGTTAAGCAGAGCAAAAGAATCAGCTCACAGGGTGGATCTGTTGTAAGCAGTGCCCTTCTCAGGGAGAAAGTAATCAAGGTTTTGAATACAGGTTAAACTGAGCAGAGGTTTGCATGTGCCCTGTCCCAGTGAGCTGCTGCCCTGCCCACACAGAGTCATAGAATGTCATGAGGTTGGAAGAGACCTTAAAGATCATCCAGTTCCAAGCCCCTTCCCATGGGCAGGGACACTTCCCACTATCCCAGGTTGCTCAAGGCTTTATTCAGCCTGGCTTTAAACACTGCCAGGGATGGGCCTCCTATTCCAGTGTCTCACCACCTTCATAGTGAAGAATTTCTTCTTAATTTCTGATGTAAACGTCTCCTCTGACGATTTTCCACTGCTCCTCATTCTATCACTACAGTTCCTGGCAAAGAATTCATTTCCAGTTTCTCTGTGGGCCCCCTTCAGGTACTGGAAGGCTGCTACAAGATCTACACAGCCTTCTCCTCTCCAGGCTAAACAGCCTCAGTCACAGAATCATCAAGGTTGAAAGAGACCTTCAAAAGTATCCAATCCAATCATCCACCCACCACTATAAATCCTAAACCACACCACCCAGCATGAGATCTGGAAGCCTCTTAAGCACCACCACGGATGGTGACTCTACCATCTCCCTGGGCAACCTATTCCTATGCCTGTGAAAAAGCTTTTTTTTATATATATCTAGCCTGAAACTCCCCTGCCTGAGCCAAAGGCCAAGGAACTCACCGTTCTGTACCAGCTGTGCCAGCAGGTTGTCCTCCTGGATGGCGTAGGAGGCAAAGTTGCTGCCCACATCGATGAAGGTGGGCAGCGAGCCGGTGGTGAGGCCCTTGATGCGCTGCATGGTGGCCGTGGGGGGGTCGGCTCGGAAGCGGTAGAGCCGGGCATGGCGGGGCTGGGAGGTGGCCAGCTGGTGCAGGACACCCAGCTTATTCTCGTAAGGCAATGGGCTGGCCTTGGCAGGGTCAAAGCGGGCAAACTCAAAATGGAGGGCGTCAATGATGACGAGCACGGCCTTGGAGAAGCGTTGGGGAGCCCAGCAGGAGCCTGGCGGGAGGCTCTGCCTCTCCCAAGGTGGAGGCACGAGTGGGTCTGAGCAGGAACTGCTGCTGGCAAGCTCGATCCGGGTGAGCAGGAAGCCGCTCATGAAGAGCCCGATTCCAGCAAAAAAGACAAAGCAAACCCAGGCCAGGAAAAGCACCACTGGCCACCGCTGCATCCTAGAGGGAAGGACAGGCAGGCTCAGCCCCCAGTGGCTCTGCCTGGGCAGGCACCACTCCCTACCAGCACCCTACGGCTCCCTGGCCCAACACCGCTCACACCCACCCGTCCCGCAGTAACCTCACGCAGTCTGACCTGACTTTACTTCGTTCCACTCCGTGTCCTGGCACCTGTCCCGCACACCTCCTTGTGTCCCCTCCCGAACGGGAGCCGAGTCCTGCTCCTTCCCGACTGCCCAGCGCCTTCACACACCCCCAGCCTCCCCCGGTACCCCCATTCCCCTTCATACACCCCCAGCCTCCCCCGGTACCCCCATCCCCCTTCACACACCGCTGCACCCCCGACTCCCGGTCCGCCACCTCACACCCCCGCCACCCTTGTGTCTCCCGCGTCCCAGACTCTCCTCCTGCCCTCCCTAGCCCCTCTCAGCCCCCCCTCAGCCCCTTTCTGACCCCGGACCCCGCTCCCGTCCCGTCCCACCTGCGGCTCCCGGCACCCGTCGCTCCCGGAAGCGCCACGCGTGGCGCCGACCGCGCTAGAGCGGCACCGCGGGGAGCGGCGCGGAACGGCGGCGCCCCCTGGCGGCCGGGAGGTCTCGGCGCCCCTCCCTTCAGGCGAGGCGCAGTCGTAACGGCGAAAAGTGTTGTTTTAATTAATCAGTTGATTAATCGACAGAGGCGCTCCCTGCCCTGTGGTGGGCGTTGTGAGGAGCTTGCTGTAGACAATGCACACAGTAGGGGCAGCCTCTTGGAGCTGACAGAGGAGGGGATGATGAGAGCAGCTCACACTCCCAGAGAAGTGATACACTGGGAGAGGCATTCTTCATAGGAATAGGGTCCCCAAAATCACAGAATCATAAAATAGTTTGGGTTGGAGATGCAGCTTGAAGATCATCTAGTTCCAAACCCCTTGCTGTGGGCAGGGACAACTTCAACTTGATCAGGTTGCTCAGGGCCTCATCCAGCCTGGCCTTGAACACTGCTAGGGATAGGCATCCACAAACTTCCTAGGACAACCTATGCCAGTGCCTCAGCACTCTCACAGGAACAATTTTTTCGTAGTATCAAATTTTTCACTCTTGTATGCCACTGCAAGTCTATGGCAGATCCCAGCAGGAGCCTGCTGAGGAGGGAGGATTCCCCTCAGGCATCGAATACTGGGGTCAGGCACCCAAGCACAAGAGAACATGCTGCAGCAGCACTGTTACCGTTTATTACATGATTTAAATCCAATACAAAATAGGGACTAAGGAAACAAGAGCAACTGCCTGCAGCAGAACAGGACTGCTGGCAGGCCTCAGAAGAGGGTATGAGATCCTTCCAGCCCTGTTAGCTGGAGCTGCCCTGCTCTGCCTTCAGCATCTCTGTGGCAGGAGAGCGGGAGTCCTCGTGGGCTGGAGGCATCTCATCTTGGGTCTTCACAGCTTGTGGCTTGGTCAGTGTGGTGTATATCCCCAGGGCCTGGAGGGAATAACACAATCATAGTGACAGAAGCAGAGGAGAGGGCCAGGCCCCAGCAGAGGTGCCCTCTTCACCTCCCCAGAGCAAAACTCACTTGGGTGAGAGGAAGAATGGCTTGAGTTGGAAGGATCCTCTTTTTCTAACTCCTCACCACAGGTAGGGACACCCCGCACTGGACCAGGATGCTCAGAGGCCCATTCAACCAGACCTTCAACACTTCCTAGGATGGGGCATTCACACCTCTGTGCAACCTGTGCTAGTGCCTCACCACCCTCACAGGGAAGAATTTCTTTCTAAAATTCTAATCTCAACCTACTTATTCAGTTTAAAGCCATTCCTCCTCATCCTATCGTTACATGCCCTTGTAAAGTATCTCTCCATCTTCCTTGTAAGCCCCTTTTAGGTACAGTAAAGTGCTACAGAGCCTTCTCTTCTCCAGGCTGAACAAATTCCCTCAATTTCCTCAGGAGAAACAGAGCCTCAGCAGAGGTGCTCCACCCCTCTGATCATCTTGGTGGCCTCCTCTGGGCTCACTCCAGCAGGTCCCTGTCCCTCCTGTGCAGGGATCCCAGCTCTGGATGCAGTGCTCCAGGTGGGTCCCACCAGAGCAGAGCAGAGGGGCAGAATCCCCTCCCTGCCCTGCTGCCCACGGGGCTCTGGATGCAGCCCAGGACACACGGGGCTACACTGACCTGTGCGACCATATTGGTGACATCGCCCGTGTTGGCAGGCAGCAGAACGGTGTTGGAGTCTTTGGCAATTTTGGAGAAAGCGTTCACGTACTGCTCTGCCACTGACAAGGAGGCAGCAGCATTGCCGTGCTGGGGACAGAGGGACAAGTCAGTGCCACCAACAGCTCATCCCTGCCCGTATCCTCAGCCCACCCCAGTCCAGTAAAGAACCTCACTCCCTGCTGCTGCCAAAGGTGCCAGGGAGTGTCCAAGAGAAAGCCAGGTGCCCACACTTTCACCTCCTCCAGTCCCTACCTGGCTGCTCCAGGTAGCCATCACTCACCTGCTGTGCCAGAGCAGCTGCCAGAAGCTGAATTGCCTCTGCCTTTGCCCTGGCCTTGACCAGCATGGCATTGGCTTCTCCTGCAACAAACCACAGCAGGGTGTGCATTAGAACCAGGACAAAGCATTTGCAAGGACTGAATCCCGACCATTTCAGGGAGCGAATCAAGACAATTCCATGCATGCACGGCTGTCTCTTCCCCAACAGCAACACTATCACATCCTCCTGCTGCCGGGAGGCTAGGGCGGGACAGCAACATCAACTGGAGCTCAGCCTCAGGCCCCAGCAGGGAAGGATCAGAATGGCTGGGGAAAACTGGCTCACAGCGATGCCATCTCTCCCCAGCAGCACCACCCCTCAGTCCACAGGGCTACAGAACCCCACGTTTTAGCTCCAGGCACTACCAGCAGCTTTGTTGATTTGTTCAGCCTTCTCAGCTTCTGATGCCAAGATCTGGGCCTGCTTCTGGCCTTCAGCCACGTTGATAGCCGACTCTCTCGTCCCCTCCGATTCCAGCACTGTTGCTCGCTTCCGCCGCTCTGCCTCCACCTGCAAACACAGGTCAGACACCAGCCTGCCATACCTGCCTGGGGAAATCCCATCTGTGAGGCAAGGACATGCTCCTCTGTACTGCTGGGGGAAGCATGGCTTAGCAAAGCATGAAAATACAGCAACAGAACACTGTGTGGTCTCAGGGAGGGCTGGTTCTGCTCCTCATGCCACACAGCCCTTCCCAGCCCCGTCTCCAACTAAGAGGACAGTTGCTTCCCCCTCCTTCTCTTCCAGCCCAGATATCTGGTGTCCAGCTTTTCTCAAGGGGAGACCTTCACCTCTGAGATCTGCTTCCCCACAGAGCCCAGCAGGGATTTTAAAGGGAGCTGGCAGAGCTTTGTATGTTGCAGGCAGGGGTCACCACGACAAAAATTATGACAGGAGTTACTTATTCAGTAGCAGTATGTCTGCAGCCAAAATGCCTTCCTGAGGCAAGGGGTGGGTGCCGCCAGCTCTGAACAGGTAACAATAATGAACCATAACTTGTATTAGCAATAGTGTGGCCAGCAGGACCAGGGAAGCGATTCTCCCCTTGTATTTAGCACTGGTGAGGCCAAGCTTTGAGTCCTGTGTCCAGTTCTGGGCACTTCAGTTCAAGAGGGACATTGAGGTGCTGGAGATCCATAGAAGAACAGTGGAGCTGGGGAAGACTCAGAGCACAAGTCTGATGATGAGACCTTGAGAGAGCTGGGGTTGTTTATTCTGGACAAGAGGAGACAAAGTCTCAGGAGGAGACCTTATCACTCTCTAAAACCAGCTGAAAGGAGGCTGCAGTCACACAGGAGTTGGCCTCTTCTCCCAGGTAGTCAGCAACAGGATGAGAGGGGACAGTCTTAAGCAACACTAGGGGAGGTTTAGGTTGGATATTAGGAAGAACTTCTTCACAGAAATGGTGATTAGACATTGGAATGGGTTACCAGAGAGGTAGCAGACACACAGTTCGTGGAGGTCTTTAAGCAAAGATTGGACATGGCACTTGGTGCCACGGTCTGGTTGACAAGGTAGTGTTTCGTCATAGGTTGGACTTGATGATCTGAAGTCTTTTCCAACCTTATTGATTCTGTGATTCTGTAATGCAATGTGGAAGAGGCTTCCCTCTTGTTCCAGACCTGCCTCCCAGAGAGCCTCACCTGCATCTGCATGGATTCCTTTACACGTGGGGGCACGTGGATGTCCTTGATCTCGTAGCGCAGACACCGGATGCCCCAGCAGTCTGAAGCCTGGTTGATGGCATCCACGATGCTGGCATTGAGGGACTCCCGCTCCTGGGAGGCACAGAAGAAATGACAGAGCAGAGAAGAGGGGCTTAGCATGAGAGAAGCGTCAGGAGGGAAACAGACACCTCCCTCACAGGCAAGGTCTGCAGAAAAGAACATCTCCACAGGTTTTAGGCAGTGTCAGGTGCTTCCTGCAGCTCTTGAAGGGGTCACCTCAATATCCTATTGAGGACAGTGCCCCACACTGAAACTACTGGGTTACAGCATCTGGATACAAGAGAATGCCAGCAACTCCAGTTTCTTCCCAGCAAATGTGGTACAAGGATTACCGTACCCCATGACCCAGGTCAGGGATATTCATCACTGGGGCTGAGCAAAGAGTCACTAACTCGAAAAAGGCAGCTGAACCAGCTGGGTCTGGGCACATGCCACCCATCATCCCCTCCAAATAACACAGGGCAGGGCAAAAAATAGCTCCTGTTAAAAAAACAACCGAAACAAGACACATCTCCAAGGATTCACCAATAGGTCAACTGAAACAGAAGCCATAAGCCCTCTAAGTAAAGGACATTTTGCTGTTAAGCACATCAGCCTGGCCATGCAGGCTGCCCTGGGATTCTGGGACACACTGTCAGCTCTGTGATCCACCTGTCCAGCTCACCCGGAAGACTCTGTCGAGGGAAAGTTTGCCAAGTTCAGATCTCATGGTGGTCTGGGCCAGCTGGGTCACTGCGTACTCAGGATCTTCCACCCCATAGCTGGCCTGAAGAGCAGAAGCACAAAACAGAGTGGATAGGGATGCTAAGAGGGACCTTGAACAAGGTAGCAGAGACAAACAGTGCTAAAGCAAGCAATCTGCCAGGCACCCCTGCTGAAAACGTGGAGTCTGGAGCCTTGGGAGGAGTCAGAGTGCCCAGCCCACCTGCCAGGCAGGGCAGAGAGGCTGGATGACACATTTTGGGGAGCAGGGAGCGTGCAGAGCCAGGAGAAAGGTGCCCAAGGGGCAGGGATGGTACCTTGTAGGGGTCCATAACCCGCAAGTAGAGCACACCATCGATCTGCAGGGTGACGTTATCTGTCAGGAAAGAACAAAAGACCTTGTTTACTGAAGCAGCACCAACAAAACACAGAAAGCCCTTCTTCCATTGCACAGCTGAGCAGGCTCATCCTTTTTCACCCTTACATAACAGCATGGCACAGAAGAGGATTGGCTGAAAAAGATCTCATCTAAAGGCTTTGCAAAAAGGACCTTCCGTTCCCTGGACAACGCCGTGATGTTTTAATACACAACAGGTCTTGATTTTCCAGATAGAAGCATTTCACACTGTAGCTCTCGTAAAAGAACATTTAAGGAGGGAAAAAACCAAACCATTTAAAACTAGAAATATAACAGAGCTGCCCATTAACATCACATTCATTAACCTGTTCTAAGATGTTTTTTTACAGAAACAGGAATTTCTTTTGTGGTTCAATAAAGAAAAACACCTGAAAAATTTATTTCTGGCCAGGTGCATTCAACTCAACAAGAAGGGGCAGCTGCAGCCCAGAGAGAGAAGCTGGAACCTCCTGGGGTGCTCCCACTCACAGCAACAGCCTCCATTACCTAAAGAGAGCTGGAGAGGGACTTTTCACATGGACATGGAGGGATGGGACAAGGGGGAATGGCCCTAAGCTGATAGAGGACAGGCTTAGATAATCGTTAGGGAGAAGTTCTTCACCGTGAGAGCGGTGATGCACTGAAGTAAGCTGCCCAGAGAAGCTGAGGATGCCCCATCCCTGGAAGTGTTGAAGGCCAGGCTGGACAGGGCTTTGAGCAACCCAGCCAAGTGGAATGTGTCCCCTGCCCATGGCAGGGAGGTTGGAATGAGATAAACTTTAAGGTCTTTTCTAACGCAAATCATTCATAGATTGTGTGATTTTATGGCCAAGTCTGGGTACTAAGGGACAGGGCTCAGTGCAGGAGCCTGGGACAATTCCACTCATCCTCACATTGTCCCTTGCTCACCCCAGATGCAGCAGAAGGGAAAGGGCAGGACATGGAAGCTGTTCCTCACCCAGTGTAACAGCTGACTGCTCTGGGACATTAATGACGATTTCTTTGAGACTCTGGACGTAACGAATTCGATCCAGGAGAGGGATGAGGAAGTTTAAACCCTGAGAAAAAGGTGGGATTAGATGGCTGATAGAGTCATGCAAACAAAGCCCACGCCACACACTGCAAACACGCCACACACTGCAAACATGTTTCACACACTGGGAATTTCAGCTACTCGGTGCTTTTCACACCCCATCAAGGAAAATTAATCCCCAGGCAGCCAGAAGAAACTAAGCCAGGGAAACTAAGCCCACCACCCCATCTTCGTGCAAAGGACGCGCCTCGCTACAGCTTTAGGAACCTGCTGAATCCAGAAGGGGAGAAAAGCTGCTCCTTACAGGCTCGAGGATTCGGTGGAACTTGCCCATCCTCTCCACCACCCAGGCCTCCTGCTGCGGCACAAAGAGCACTCCGATGTTGACGGGCAGCCCGGAGTTCCAGCGGCACGGAGCTGGGGCCAGCCGTGCCGCACGCTTCAGCTGCTGGGAGTGCTGGGGGAAGGAGATGGAGCAGGGTTGAAACCAGCTGCTGGCACTTCAGAGCCCAGCTCCATACCAGTTACCCCATCTGGGCTCACGACCAGCAGGCCAGGGCAGGAAACAATGCCCCTAACAGGCCTATGCTGTAAGGGTTCCTACAAGGATAAGGCCTGGGCGCCAGGGACAGTCTTCTCCATTGGTGCAGGGGGGGTTCACTCTCAAGCCAGAGCTTTCTGCACATCTCCACTCCTCTCACATTCACCTTGGAGTGTTGAATAAAGTCTCCCTGCCACCATAAGGGCAGTGAACGTGTGTGCATATGGGTCCCTTCTGCCCCACTCAGCCCCTGTTCAGGCCCACTCCCCACAGTCCCCTCCCTCACCTTAGTCCCAGGCAACCTCTTTCCAACAATCTGTCCTTCCCCAGTTCTGGCTGCCTCCAGGGCTTCCCACGAAGAGCCCGTTTTGCCTGGGCATTCCCCCACCCTCCTCCCCACAGACTCTCACTCACATAGCTACCCTCAATCTCCCCACATCCCAACCCAGCTCACACCTCCACAGCCCCACATCCATTTCTCCTACAACAACCCAGCCCCACCTCACCGTTCCTCATGTTCAGTCACTACCCACTGGCCTGTACCCCAATACCTGCCCAGCTCACCACCATCACCCCAGCACTTCCTCAGACCCCCAACACCCAACTCCAAGAGCCCCCTCTCTCAGACCCCCTCGTACCTCCACTTGTCCTCTGCACCCCTCCTCCTCACACCTCCTTCTCTGCCCAGCTCCTCCCCATGCACGGTGTCCCCTAAGCCCTCAACACCACCATCCCACTGAACCCCCACGTCCTCAGTTACCTCCTCATTCATTTGTCCTCTGCACCACCCTCCTCTCCCTCCTTACTCTCTACCCCTGTCTATTCCCCTGCCCACAGCCCAGCTCTTCCCAGCCCCAAACACTCCCCCATTGACACTCTCTTCAGCTTCTCTATACCCATCTGTTCTCTAGACGACCGCCCCGCCCGGCTCTCCCCAGACCCCCAGTAGTACCCCACTGCCCCGCCACTACTCCTGTTCAACCCCCACACCTGTCTGTCCACTGCACACCCCTCCGCATCCCTTCCCCACCCCTGCAAGCTCTCCCCCGCCAGCCCTTCACTGGATCCTATACACCACCCCACCGACACCCTCTCAGTCCCCCCGTAATCATTTATCCTTTTCATCTCCTTTTCAACTCGCCGTGTATCCATAGCCCTATTCCTGCCCAGCTCCTCACCACCACTCCAGCACTTCCTCGGAGTCCCAACACTACAGACCGCCCTTATCTCCTCAATCTCCCGGTACCCATTTGTCCATAGCCCCCTCTAACTCCCCGCCCCGTTACCCCATGCCTGCCCAACTTCTCCTCACCTGTTCCTCGGACCCGCGAAACCACCACCCCACTAAACCCCACCTCCGACCCCCCATGTCCGCCCGTCCGTCCTCTGCGTCCCTCAACACCGCTTTACCCCATCCCTGCCCAGTTCACCCTTCAAAACCAACCCCCTCATGTCGGTGTCCCCAGTCCAAAACCCTTCTCCCAGCCCCTCCGGCACCCGCTACCCGGACCGTCCCCACGTGGGCACCCCCAGACTTCTCCCCGTTCCCTCCTCACCCGCCCTCCTTCCCCGCACCTGCAGGAGCCCGAGGCCGGACCGGGCCCTGATCCCCGCCCGCGACAGCATGGCCCCCTCCGCCCGGCCCGCTCGGCGCCACCGCCGCCGCTCCCGCACTCCCAGAAGGCCCCTGCGCCGGGCCGCTTCCGGGTGCACCGCCCGGATCGGTCCCTCCGCCTCCTCCGACCGCGGCCCCCGGTTCCGCCCGCCCGCCCGCGATTCTGTGTCTCCCCCCACACTCCCCGAGGGGCGGCAGCCCCGGTCTCGTTCTGGAGTTCCAAACGGACGTTTATTAAATTAGAAACGAACACGGAAAGTACCGGCACGGCCTTCGCGAGCCCGCAGGGCCACGGCGGGAGGGGTAGCCTCGGTGACCTGGGGGCGAGGGGGACGCAGGTGTCATGGCGGCCCCCGAGGGTGGGGCGGGTTAAGATCCACGGTTTTGGGGGTTCAGGGTCTCGGTTTAGGGGGAGCAACCCCCGGTGCGAGGGGGGGTTCAAAGCCTCCGTTTGGGGGACTTAGGCTCCCAGTGTATTATGAGCAGGTTCAGGCTTCCTAACCCCAGTGCAGCAGGCCAGAGGCCCTCGGCCGCCCCCGGACATGGCAGAGCAGGACCTTGCCCCCACACCCCCCAATCCTGGCCCATCCCCACACTGAGCCCCCCAAGCTGGGGTCTCAGCTCTAGGGGTGGGGAGTTGACAGAGTCAGGCCTGTCCCCCTCTTGCTCCCTCTGACAGAGGGGCTGAGGATCCCCACAGCCTGAGCTGGAAGGGGGAGCCTTGCCGAGACCCTCAGAGAGCAGAGAAGCGATACAGACAGGAGATGTGCAAGCTTGTTTTATCCTGGGCCCTGCCCCTCTGACTGCCCCAGTCTGGATTCTCCCAGTCCTGCCTCTGAGGATCTAGCCCAGCTCCCAGAGTTTGATGTCCTCTGTTGCTTCCCTGCTTCCCAGGGACTAAACTGGGGGCCATCCTCCAGCCCCTGATCACGCTGCCGGCACACCCCTGCCCCCTGCCCAAAGCTGTCTCCTGCATGGGATTCACCCTGCACCTGCAGACAGTGCAAGGTTCCTTTTTTTTTTTTTTTTTTTTTTTTTTTAATTTTTTTTTTTTTTTTTTTTTTTTTTTTTTTGGCAATCTTCTCAGATCCACAGGTCACGTGCTCTGGAGGCTCTTGCCCAGAGGGCTATCCCCATATTCCTGCAAAGAGCCCCAGGTCCCCATCCACGTGGCAGCTGTGTCTCTTACCTTCAGGAACCTGGCAGTGGCCACTTCCTTGACAGCCATAGGCCTCTTGAGGTCTGGCTTGCCCTAAAAGACTCAGAAGATAAGTGTGGGCCTCCCCAAGCTGCTTGGAGTTGGGATGCCTCTGCAAAGCTGGTGCCAGCAAGGCTCGGCGTGTCACAGGGCTTTTAACAACCCTTTACCTGGGAGCTGCACTCTGTGTGAGCACTGGATCACTCCCTACCATGGGCTGAGGCATCCCTGTCCCTTGTCATCCTCACAATCCCCACAGCCCTGCCCAAACACGGGCAGTCTGGTGCAGGCAGGGCTGGGGGGAAGGACAAGCACAGCACCTCTGATCCTCTGCACAAGCTTCCTCTGCGCTCCCAGCAACAATAAATACTAATAAATACAAACTCTTCCACACTTTCTGCTCCCAAACCCAGGACGAGCGTGGGTGGTCCTACTCACAGCTCCAGTCCAACTCTTCACACCCACCCACCTCAGCCACAGCCAAGCTGGGAGCAGTGCCAGCAGAAGGCTTGGGCACATCCCTGGAGTCCCAGGGCTGTTCCTCAGCCCCTGCCCCTCCTGGTGAAGCCCCCTGGGATCTGCTGCTGCAGAGCGTGGTGTCTGTGCTGGTCAGGAGGGTGGGTGATATCTCTAAGCAGTGCTTGCTGGCCCTTTACTCATTTCTCCCCAGAGTGCTGGGCTGGAGGCTCCCCAGTGGCCCTGGGGGGCGGGTGGTGAAGAAGGTCAGGCCCGGGGTGAGTAGCAGGGGTTCCGCGGCATCTCTGTGAAGGATTTCAGTTCGTAGGGGATCCCCGAATCCACCTCGATTGACTTGCGGGAGAAAAGCAGCCGAATGTCGTCATGAAGGTAGATCTTCCCCGACTTGGAGCTGTGAAACCTGCGTGGAGAGAGCAGGGCAGAGAGACCTCAGGCTCCCCAGGCAAGGGCAGGGCATCCTCAGTGAGGGCACAACTCCCTTGACTACTTTGGCCCCTGGTCAAGGTGGCCAGCCTCTGGTTGCCTTCAGAGGGACAGAGACAGCTGCCCTTGGGTAGGGTGGCAGCTCCAACCTTCCCAAAGGAGCAGCTGGTCCTTGCTCCTCCTCAGTCCCTCCTCCTGTCTTGCAGGCTTGGGACATGTCAGAGAGGAGCGCAGGGGTGACCCTGGGGCAGGTGCCCATTTCCCCGGAATGCTTTACCTCAGATGCATCAGGTAGCAGAGGACTCTGCGGGGTGGGCTGGTGCCCAGTGGGTCACTGGGGGCCACTGTGGACCCCTCCTCCTCCCCCACGGGCACCAGGAAGATGCGATGGCGTAGGAAGGTCATGTGATTGGCCGGCATGTCCTGGAAGTCGTATGTCACCAAGAACATCTTCACCACAGTCTTGTTGGGGTTAAATAAGGTCTGGAGGCAGAGGGGTAGGGGATGAGACTGGGAAGGATGCAGGGCAGAGATGGGGGATCTGGGAGCAGAAGCTGCTGAACCAAGGATCCAGATAGCCCCCACCAGTCCTAGAGGGCTTAGTCTGAGTCTGACTGTTATAGGTCAGTCCTTTCCACCCACCTTCACGCCTGTGCTCCTCTTCCATCACATCCCATTCCCACTGCACATACACACTTTCCTGTCAAAACCCTCACCCACCTCTTCCTTCTCCGATTCTCTCTTGTCAGTACCTTGTCTCCCTGACAGCACCGTAGGTACCCTGTGTTCCTCTCTGCTATGCTGTCTTGGTGGCCACCTAACCTCTCTGCAGGAGACACCCCTTCCAGCTGCTGCCCTGCCTAAAACGTCCTGGAGCATACCCCACCCAAGCAGGGCAACCAGAGCCCAACTGGCTCCATCCACACAGTGCTACTGCAGGCCAGGGAATGACTCACCACTTGGATGGTTCCAGCTTTGGGGACACTGTAACCCTTCTTTCCCAAGGCCTCCAAGTCAATCACTCCCTGGGGCAAAATAAACAGCATGTGAGAGAGGGAGAAAGCCAAGGGAGAGCCCAGCTGGGAACCACCATGGACCTGAGACTCCCTCAGTGGGAACACTTAGCACAAGTCAGCAAGAAGACCCCCAGCTGAGCCCTTCTCCAAACCAGGAACAGAAACAGAGAGGCAGTGACAAGAGAAGTGATGACAATGACAACCACGAAACAGCAGGGCCTATGTATGTTCCCTCTTCTTTCCCTTTTTGCTTTTTTGGATTAAAGACTGCTCCTGGCACAGGCAGTCATCTCCACAAGCAGGCGATTGCTTGAGGCCCCCTCCACAGTGAGAGGCTACCCCAGGGTGCCAGGGCACAGCCTCCCACAGCTCCCCCACATCCATGTACCAGGAAAGGCGAGGGCACACTGTGTTCAGAGATGTCGAAGTAGGTGACGTCGACAGGCAGGGTGACATGCTGGGGACAGTAGGAGCCACTGGCACCGATCTCTGCCGTGAAACCCTCGATCCTCCCTGATGGTGCAAAGCGCCCCTTCAGGATGGACTCCTGAGAGGGGAGGGAAGCGTTAGGGAGTCTCAAACAACAGCCCTACCCCCTGCCTCAATGCTCCCAGTGAAGTCATCCCTATCTTCACTGCACCCAAGTGACTGCTTGCCCTCGTATGTCCTGAGACCTCAGTGTGAGACAGACCCACCCTGAACTGCTGGGATAACACCAACCATCTAACAGGGAGAAGCAGCAGGAGTGCCTCAGCTCAGCCTCACAGCACTTATCTTAGCAGGTTCCACCCAAGGATCTGCTGGCTGAGCCATGCTGCTCGTGGGTGGTGGCTGTGTGGTGGCCACTGCACGCCATGCCTTTTGGGGACAATCAGCCCAGTCCCACACCAGGACTCCCATCTGGTTCAGCCTCTCACACTCATCGCTAGCCCTGCGTAGAGCCCGTGGGACCCACCTCCCCCAGCAGATGGTCACCATTACCTCGAAGTTGCCCAGCAGAGCATGGCTGACAGTGGTGGTGGCCCAGGGTGCTGTGGGAGACCTGGTGCCCCTCCGGAGACTGGTCCGGAGATGTCGCCTTGGAGTGAGGAGAGAAGAATGGTGTTCATGAACTGAAGAGCACACAGCCCTGGGCAATTCACGTCCCTGGAAATATGGATCCCTCTCCAGGCCCCCTGTACCTTTGCTAGAGCTTGAACCCACTTTCCTACGTCCTAAGGGAAGAAGAAACCCCTCCCCCCAAGTCTGTGGTCTTGTGGTGGGGAGATATGTGGGCCAGGGCAGGAAAGAGGACTCAACCCAACCTGAACCTCCCATGGGGCTGCAGGTCCCCTGAGCCCCCATGCCCATCCCACAGGGCTGCCAGGACACTCACGATTTGAGGCGCAGCCCACTCTTCAGCCTTCTACCGACTGCAGTGCAATCTGATGAGCTCTGGAGGGGACACGAAATGAGAACCATGTTAGGGCAGCAATCAGGCCTTGTACACCCCTGGGAGGTGCCACTGCCCCTTGCCCTGCCCCATATTCCCATGAGGGTCCCAGCAGCTGGAACAGGGTCCCATCCTTGGGCAGGCATCAGGGGCCTCTGGAGGGGTGGTGACCAGGGCAGCACAAGGACTGGGGTGTCTGGTGGGGACATGGGGCTGCTCAAAACCCCAAAGTGGCTCAGTTGAGAATGAGGGTGTTGGTACCCAAAGGTACAACACACTGTTCCCTCTTCTCAAGAACAGCCCCAGTGACAAGACATTTGTAAATAGAGCCATGCAATGACACCCCCTTGCACCTCCCAGGGACTAGTGTCACCTACAAGGACACTCCCCGACCAGCCTCGGAAAGGTTCTGTCCCCTGGTGATTCATGCAAAGTCCTCAGCAGTGCCACCAGGCAGAAGGGTGCATTTCCCACCCCTACCCACAGCTAGGATCCTACAGCTGTAGGGTGGGAAGGTAAAAGCCACAGTCACACTGCGGTCTCCTTTTAAAGATTCCCTTTTTCAGGGGCTTTCCCTTCTGGAAGCCACACAAAGGGCAGCACAATACAAAGGGATGATGGAGCTGGCTGGCATGACTGGGCGGGAATACCCAGGGAAGCTGCTGGAGGGCTTCACTCTGCAAGGACAGTGCTGGGGGCAGTTGGGCTGGGGGTCAGTCACGAAAAAGGCAGGCAGGGATGGAGCTCTGCGCCATGGATGGTGTGTCCCAGCTCCAAGCACAAGAAGCCAGCGTAACTCTGACATCAGTTCTGGTGGGTACCCACACCATGAGATGCCCCAGAGAAAAAGATCTAGCCTGAGCCTTCTGCAGCCTCAGCTGGCTGGACAGGGTGAGGGCAGGGGGCTGATAAGAAGGGCAAGGTAAGAAAGGAAAAACTGGAGGCAGCTCCTGAGCTGCTAGGGGGGGTTGCAAACTTCACAAGTCTGCCCCATTGCTGAGAACTTGTGGCACCTTGGGGACATGCCACAGACATCTCAAAATGGCAGAAAAGCCAGTGGCATATCTACACACAGCACTGGGCTCCTTGGTCAAGGCATGTCCAGTCCCACTGCCTGACATTGGACACTTGCTCTAATTGGGATCATGGCCAGGAGTTCAAGCCATGCCACAGATCTGCCTTTCTCCTCATCAGGCAGGCAGAGGTCAGCTGCTCTTCCAAGCTTGCTGGTATATCAAGGCTTAACATGAAGCCATCAGACACCAAATATGGCCTCATGATGTGTCCAGCTCTCACTGCCATGGGGAGGTTGTCTCCTGTCCAATCAAGGCTCTCCAGAAGAAAAAGCTGGTTACATGCAGGATCCAATGACTACAACATGTCAAAAACTGTTTAAAACAGACTATGTGTGCCAGGGCTGACTGTCACCTGCTGCCTTGTGCACATCAGTACTGCAGCTCAGGGACAGGACAGAGCATGGTGCCACAGTGGACCACACTGCTCACAAGCACAGTCCTGAGCTTTGGGCATCCCCAGGCCATTCCCTGCTTCCCCCCATGAGCAATGCTCACCTTGGCTGCAGGAAGCAGGTGATTCCAGAACGGAGCTCCCTTGGCATCAGTGCTGCGGCAGGCTGTGGGCACAGGATGGCATGGCAGGACCCTCTTCTTCTTCGCTGGTGGGGACAGGCTCTCATCCTCAGAGCAGGAGTCGGCCATAACCTCACCAGCAGGCAGCAACTTTCTTTTGGCTGGGCAGGTGCTGCTGAGCTGGCTGCTCCCACAGGGCGTCATCTCTTGGGAGCTCAGGTTGCTGGGCTCAGGGCTGAGCACTGTCTGTGGACCTGGGGACTCCCTGCACCCATTGGCCACCGCCGGCCCTTCTGCTTCTCCACTAGCCCTGCTGGTGTGAGCTGGGCTGCTCCCTGGCTTCTCTCTCTTCCCACCAGGGTCCAACTGGGTTGTTTGTGCAATACTGTGCAATTCAAGGTGAAGTACATTGTGGCCACTTGTCGGCTCCCCATTCTCTCCATAGTCTATGGGCTGATCCCCTGATGAGACAGAGCAACTGTCTCTCATGTGCAAAGTACTGCAAGCAATGTGCTGGGGCCAGGAGGAGGAGGAGGAGGAGGAAAAGGAAGAGGAGGAGGAGGAGGAGGAGATATCCTGCGACTTGCCCTCTCTGCTGGCCTTGGGGCTGTGGCTAGGGCTACCCTCACAGCGGTGCTCCACCACCCGCAGCCCACTGTGGGAGAAGTGCTGGGCAGAGCCACAAAGGGAGAGCTCCTCCACCAGCAGACCATCCTCAAAGGTATCATCATCATCCAGGGAAGGCTGCCCAGGGCCCCCATCCACCCCCCTGTCACCCCAGTGAGTTCGTTTGGGATCACGTCCCCCCTCTGGAGTTCGCTGCTCAGGGTATCCCCTCTTGACAGCTGGCCGGGTGCCTGCCCGCTGCTCCGTGTTCTCAGAGGAGCTGGAGAGATGGGAGAAGATGGACACCTGGTAAACCTTCTGGCGCTTGATCTCTGTCTCATTGTAGCCCATGAGGATGCTGCGGTGGGTGCAGCACTGTGAGGAAGGCTCCAAGGGTGTCTCCCCACTGGGCCGGGACAGGCTGGGGTCTGTGCTGCGCTCCGGGGGCAGAGACGTCTCTGTGTGGATGTGCCGCATGGAGCCTCACTTGCTGGGACTCCAAGCAGAGCCCATGCAGCAGCAGGAGGGGGACTGTAAAGTGCCACAGGTCAGGGTGCAAGGGCAGAGGGTGGGAGCCAGGCCCTCTCTATTCAGGATCTCTCTGTGAGCACTCTACCATGAGCTGCTCTGCAGCACAGCATCTGGAAAAAAAAAGAGAGCAGAAGGATGAGGATCAGCCCAGGATCTCCATCCTCATCCAGGCTTCTGGCTGCAAGGGACACACTGGGACATGGCTCCTCACACATCCCACTTGAACCTCCTTCTTGGGACAGGAAGAAGAACGAGGCTGATGTGGCTTTCTGGGAAACCCTGAGGCATCACCCACCTGCAGGTTCAGCACTTCCTGGCTTGGGCAAGGAGAGAAGTCTCCAGACAGGCAGAAGACTCCTGTGGACAAGTCTGGACAGGTAGGGAGGAAGAGGCCTGCCCTCTGCCAGGGACACGCTTGTGCTGTTGTGGTGCACAGGAGTCAGGCAGGTCAGACCAGTCCCAGAGGCTCAGGCCTGTAATCACCCCTTTGGGCAACAGCAGCAACATCTCCCAGTGCTGGTCAAGATAACCTGTCCTAGCCATGTGCACTGAATGAGGCAGGGCTGGTGCCAGCCCCACAGCAGGGACAGGAACCTGGCCTAACATCCCTGTTACCTCTGCCAGCTTGGACCAGGCATCTCCAGCACTTTAATCAGCAGCTGGGAGGTACCAGGATCACCATCCACCCACTCCTGCTAGCTCCAAGGGCCTGCCGTTCTCTGTGCAGCATGCTGCCTCGCTTTTGATTTTCAGTCCTGTTTGAGAGCTGTGAGAATCCTGTCTACATGTTGTTTTGTTTCAGACATGAAAAATACTGAAATGGCTGCAGGAGCTGAGGAGATGCAGAAAAGGTCACCAGGAGACTGAGGACAAACTGCCTGTGCCTGGCAGGTCTGTCTTTTGCCTGTCTTTGCAGCTGTGCCTGATCTTGTGGAGCAAGGGCTTAGGGGCAAGTGAGCAATGGGGAAATTCACTCTCCAAGTGGATCAAGGCTATGTGGAGAGGAAGCCTGCATATGCTATTTTGACCCTGCTGGGATGTGGATGGGAAAATGGCAGGCCAAGGTGCTCTAGACCAGGGAGTTCGTTTAAAAGGAGTGATAAAAGGTACAACCGTGCACCAGATATGTTGAGGACTGACTGATTGGACAACAGCACAGAAAAGACTCTGGGGGTGCTGGTGGGTGCCAAGTTGACCATGAGCCAGCAATGTGCCCTTGAGGCAAAGAAAAACAATAGTGCACCAGGCACAGCATTAACAGCAGGTAAGCAAACTGATCCTCCCTTTCTGCTCAGAGCTGTTGAGGCCACATCTGAGACAGTGCGAAAAAAAGGACTCTAAAAAAATTAAGGGAATGGAGCATCTGTCCTGTGAGGAAAGGCTGTCAGAGTAGGGACTGTTCAGTCTGGAGAAGAGGAGATCCTATCTAGATATATAGATATGAGGTTGCCTCTGAATATCAGAAAACATAATTTTGTTTTACTATGACTGAGCACTATAACCAGTTACCTAGAGAGGCTGTGGAATCTTCCTTGGAGATATCTAAAAGTCATCAACATAAAGTCCTGGGCAATGGCTGGTCCAGATAACCTCCAGATGTCCCTGCCAACCTTAACCTCTCTGTGTAGCCCACAGCATTGCAGCCCAACCTTGCTGCCACCACACTTACCCCTCTGCAGCAGGACCCTGCTCTGCTCTGGATTAGCCTCCCTGCTCTGCAGCAGGCGGTCGTTGGCACAATTAGCTGAAGACACCTGCCAGTCAGGCACCCCCCAGAAGCGGCGTGGCTGCCGTGGAATGGCTCCCACCATCACGGTGTGCCTCCAGACCTCTGCAGCGTCCTCTCCAGCTCTTCAGTGTCCACAGTGGTTCTGAGGGGAGGGAAAGGGGGAGACGAAAGGCTGGGATGACTCAGATGCATCTTGGGAGAAGGGCAGGAAGGTGCTTCCTGTCTTCAGGGTCACATAGGCAGGGAAGGCAGCATTTAGGCTCAGCCGTTCCCAACCTCCCAAAACAAAGCCACAGACATCTCAGCCACCTCAGGCAGTGCTAACACGTCGATTTCCATTTAAACCACAAATATTTTAAGCTAAGCTGTGAACTCTCATACCTGGCTGGATTTTAAATCCCTTTTGCATGCCATCCTGTATGAAACCCTGTGCATAGGAACAGATTCCTCTTTCTTTCTGGCGACCATTTCATGCCTTGCTTTCCAAGACACTGCAGCAACCTCTGGGCCTCCAGCTAGCTCCTGGTCTCATGTTCACCTCCTCCCCCTTCCACCCACAGTACAGGACACTTTCTGGCCCTACAGATAAGGAGAAGAGCTTGGAATTGTTTTCTTCCAATAAGAGACGCCTGTCAGGGAAGGCAGAAATGAGAACCCTGACAGCCCTGAGCCATGATGGCCCCCCACCAGTTTTCCCCAGCACAAAGACAGCAATCCTTTCGTGTGCACAGCACTCACCTGTTCAGATGTGCCCTTGATGCACAACAGAGATTTGCAGATGCAACACAGCTCCCCTGTGGTCATAATCCACGGGTACTGCAGCTTTGATGCCTGTAGGAGGGCGTGGAGAAGAGTCAGCTGAAGCAGCAGCTCATGGTGCAACACCTTCAGAGTGTGCAGGAGCCCCTGGGTACCTCCACCCTCAACACCTCTGCGGCAGAGGCAGCTCATGGGCTTCACCAGCCCAGGGACCTCCAGCTAAAGAAGGAAATCATGCCTATCCCTGCGGATCATTCCTTCCCTACCTCCCTCCTCATACATCCCTCAAATGAAGGGTCACTGCAGCACCCATCCAGTGGGAAGTCACTGTCTGAGCACCCCAAGCCAGCAGTGAGTACTGCTCTGAAGGCTGGAAACAGCAGGGCCAGGCAGATGAACAAAACCCCCAAATGGATGCTCAGAGGCAGCAACACTCAAGTGCAATCCCCTTCTAGCATCCTGGCAAAATCTGCATCCCTGAACTTGCACAAGGGAAGCCAGCATCAGCTGTGCTTGCTGCCTGACCTCACCTGCCCCAGAAAACAGGCTGTTCTTTCACTACATTTCCAATAAGATTTGTAATTACAGGCTGTCATGACCAGCTGTCCTTTTGAGCTGGACAGCTCAAGAGCCACTGCCAGCCCTTCCCCAGCCAGAACAGGACTTGTTGAGATTCAATACAGCCGCACCCAAGGAGCAGTTGCAGCAAGGCAAATCAGTGCTGCAGCACAGCAAACCATGGGGCCAAAACCTCAACAAAAGCTTTTTGTAAAGACCAGCTCCTCCTGGCATCCCATGAGGCCTGCACCAAAGCAGATATGAAAGCAAGTGAATGCCCTCAGTTGTGGGTGGATACTGAAGTGGTAGCATGCTGTGCACTGCCTGCCTGGAAGGCTGCTCTTTCCCTCCTCCATCCCTGAGGGAGACTTGTACCATAACTTGTGTGGCACTATCAACCACTGGGAACCAAAATCAGCAACCAACAGCAAGAATCACCCTGGTCCAGTGGAAGAAAGAATGTGTCCATGCCAGAACAAACAAAGTTCACCAGTGTCCTTTCATTCTCTTCTCCATGACCCTCTGAAGTCACAGCCATTTTCTCCCCAGCAGCAGCTGCCTTTCAGGAGAATGGATATATAAGGACAGGCTGACCTGCTAGCACCACAAATCCATCCCAGCTGAGCTCTCAACACCAGTCATCAGCTGCTGCCAGCAGCAGCCACCAGAACACATGGCTAGAACAAGGGGCTGCATCACCTTTTGCCAAACCCAGACACCATTGCTTGAAACATCGTACTGGAAAAGGCCAGCCCCATGGCAGGGACAGGAAAGTACCACCCAAAGTGTCTTCAAGTATACCCTAAAATCTCCCTGAACATCCTCCTGGAGAAATGCCCATCAGCCTGGAATGGGCAACAGCTGGGCTGACCCTCCTCCAGACGCAAGGGGCTGTATCCCAGGGAGCTTCTCCTGTGCCAAGTGCCTTCAGGGCAGTTCCTCCCTGCTGAGAGCCCATCCAGCTCACAGCAGAGCTCAGTCTCTGACAGCACCAAGGGAGCCCACCACCTCCCTACAGAGCACAACAGCAACCCTGCAGCCATCGCCTCCTGCACTCCAAGGAGGCACAGGGAGAAAGCACCTGGTCACCTCTGCCTTCTCCTCTCCTTGAGCCAGGCATTGCCAGAGCCCTAATTCTGGCCATGTGGATGGGACAGAGCCAAGCCCAGGGCTTCACCAGCTCAGCTAAGCAGCAGAGGTACCATCCATGAGGACACAGCACATGGGGCTCCATGTGCCCACACCAAGGGTTTGGCTCCTCCTAAGCCCACGTGATGCTGATTTTTTTTTTTTTTTTTTTTTTTTTGGACAGCGTTTCAGTCCATCCTGGTGCTCTAAGTCAGGACTCAGAGAGCTTTGTCTCTGGGAAAGCCCAGCCAGTGCTCTTCCACTCTCTGCCCTGCTCCTGCCAAGGTCTCCTCATTGCTCAGAAAACAGGCAAGGCCCTGTGCTTTTGCCAAGATCTCCCAGCACCTGGATCTGGACCTATGCCAGGCACAGCTTTCCTCTATTTCTTTGCCTGGGGAAGGGCACCACGCTTCAACACCCAAGAAATACCCAAAGCCAAATGACCTGCAGAGAGGGAGCGTGTCCCAGGCACTGGGGCAGAAATGCTGTGTTCCTTGGGCCACCAGAGCCTGATGCGGAAAAACACAGCCTGGCCTGGTGGGCTTGGGTTAGAGACTTGGCTTACCTGCTGGTTCCATTCCTATTAGCACATCCAGGGGGAAACCAGGATTAACAGACCATGGTCTCAGTCTGGAGGCAACAGAGCAGGATGGCGACTGAGGACGGGTCCCTGGCTGGGCAATGCAGCAGCAGTGCCACATGCTGGGCTGCAGCCTGCAAAAGGATCTGTTGCTGTTGGAGCTGTAGTGTGCCAGCCAGAGAGGAAGAGGGATGAGTGTGGAGCAGGGAGGTTATCTGTCATGAGGCAGAGCCCTTGGGAGCCTGACAGGGCTGGTAGCAAAGCACCAGTGCAAGGAAGAGAGCAAGAGCTGTGCGCAAAGTTGCCACACTCATCCAGGGGGGACCCAGTGGCTTCCCAGAGCAGCACTGCCAGCCATTCAAAAGGGACATGTGGCCAGTGGACAAGAGGCTTTGACCTGGGCATTGCTGCCTGGCACAGAGCACCAGCCTGGTTGCTGGCAGAGCCAACAGGGGTCTTTGCACAATTTAGACCACAAAAAACCCCAAACCAACCCCTAAATAGCTCTTGCTGCTTTCGCCTCTCCTGCTTCCTCTCCTAGGAAGAGCTATGGAGAGACACTGGTGGCCTCACTGCAGGTAAAGCAGGAACCACACAGCCAGGAAGGAGAAGGGCCATCATTAAAAGAGGGCAAATAATCATCCTCAGAACAAGGAGAGTACAAGGCAAGAGAAAAGGCAACAGAAACTGCTGGAAACAGACTGGAAGATAAATCACAACTCTATTGGTCCTATCTGAACCCAAAGAGAAGGAAGGAAATCAAAGCAGTGCGAGCACAAACCCAGAAGCTCCCTGGCACAGGCTAAGAGCAGAGCTTGTGAAGTGCCAGCAGGCAGAAAGTTTCCGTCACAACCCTGAAGGATGGCAGCACTAAACAGCAATGCTGCTACCAGAGAAGGGCTCCTGCAGAGTCTGACAGATCAGGCATCTCACCATCAGGAGACAGACACACACGTGAGGCTGGGGACTACCTCCAGCACTGTAGCAGAGGTGGCAATCCCAGGGAGAAGCTGAGTAGGGAGATGCTGGAGGAGCAAACTGTGCCTGAAGAGAAAAATGACCACTGACCTGGCACTATCCTGGAATTCGGTTTGGGAAAGAAGGAGCTGCCACTTGGTGGAAACAAGAGGGAGGAAGAAGGAGAGGGAAGGGGAGTGGGTACAGAGGGAGGGAGCTTCCTTGCCCCACTGCAAGGGCAAGTGCTGCTCTCAAGGGTCCTCAGGAGGCCTCCTGCCATGCCAGATTTATGCTGCTGCAGAGCCTTGTTCAGTGCTAGCTCCTGTTAGGAATGGAGAGGAAGCCCTAGCCCAGAGGAGAAGGATGGGGCAGGAGGTATTGCCCATCTGCAAGCTCCTAGAAACCACCAGACACAGCTTTTACAGAGAGAGAGAGGGACCCGACTCCTCGAGTCCCTGAGGTGCTGCTGCTCCCTCCCATCCCTCGGGAGGCGGCAGTGACAGGGTGCAGAAGCCCCCGGGGACAGAGCAGCCCTCTCTGCAGTGCATCTTGCTGGGGCTTCAAGCTGCAGCAACCTCCTCAAGGGTTAAGGTCTGCCCAGCAACATGCAGTGCCTCCCCACCCCTAGCACCACACACAGGTGCCGCAGGGACTGAGCCTTTCTGGTCGGCCAAGTCAGGATAACACAATGAAACCTCTCCTGGGAGCTGGGGGAGCCGGAGCAGAGCTCCCAGCCCAGTGACTTACCCCTTCTCCCTGTGATGCCCCTCGTCCTGGCGCGGATCGCCTCCGCACACCTTTCCCAGGTGCCTGGCTTGCAGACGGCGATGCTGACAATAGCCTGCGGCTGGGAAGGGGGGTTTACAGGGTCTGCAGGCAGATCCCACTATGCGACAGCCACCTGTGTAAAGCTTTCCCCCACGTCCAACCCCCTCCCCGCCAACCTCCCCTCCACGCACGGCTGCCCCTCTTCCCAGGAAAGCGCAGGCAAAGAATGAAAAGCGGCTTAAAATCCGGCAGGACAATCGGGCAGCTCTCCAAGGCCGGCAGCACCCCCTGCCCACCCAGCCCAGCAGGTTCAAACCTCTGCGATTACAGCCCACGGCCGCCCGGCTCCAGTGTTCGACCGGGAGCCCAGGAAACCCGCAGCAGGCAGGGCAGGGAAATCCCATGCAGCAGCCGCTTACGGGGAGGACAGCCCAGGTTGAGGACAGACCTTTGTCTCTGCCTGCCTGTCTCGCTCGCTCGCTGCCGGAGGAGGAAGAGGGGGGCGGTGGGGGACAGCGAGCAAAGATAACACCCCTAGGAGGGATGTCACAGTCACGTTAATCACTTGGAATTCCAGCCAGCGCGCCGCAAATATGGGCAGCAAATGGAGATGCTCAAAGCTCTAAAATAATTGGATCCTTTCACAAGAGCCGAGCCCAGAATCCAGCACAGGAATTCAGTCCCCGCTGGAAGTCGAGAGATCAAATACACGGAGAGGCAGGCGCCGCACAAGCAATCCTCAGCCACCGCGGTATCCAGCTCCATAGCCTTTGGCGCTGCTTTAATCTCAGGTGCCTTCCCAGCGGGAGCGAGGGGGGACCACAGCGGAGAGCCCGAGTGCCCAGCTGAGGACCGGCCCCTTCCCATACAACTTACTCGACTTGTGGCAAGGTGCAGAAGCGCTGTCAATGCAAAAGAGGGTTTTGTGGGGGAGACCGGCTGCCTCGAAGCCTTACTCCTCCGGAGGAATAGTCTATGGGCAGGAGACCCCTGAAGCTGCTGTTTGGCCTCTGCTGCCCTGCAGGGGAGATGCCTGGCCCGGCAGGATTCCCAGCCCGCATCACATTCCCGGCGAGACGCACACGCGGCACATGTAGGCTCCTGCTCGGCGCCTCCACGGCAATGAAAAGGCACAGAGGCTTCTGCCAGAAAACAAAGAGGCAGCGGCAGAGCTGGGGGTGGGGAAAACTCTCCGCTGCCCAAGAGGATCCCTGCAGAGGCTGCAGGATGCTGCTAGGCTCCACCGCAGCTATTCACCCCCATTGGCCCGAGCTGGACCCACTTGCCCGGCAGGGGGAACCGAGGGTGGGCAGCCCCCCTTCCCCTTCCTGAGGCAGCGACGGGTGAGAAGTGCTGGAGGACACGAGCCAGGCCCAGGACAACAGCTGTCCACAAGCAGCAAATTCCTCTGTGCTGGCTCCACATCATAAAAAGCTCTGTCTTTTCACCTTGGGGTAGCTGCTGCACAGGGGAAGCTGCAGCCAGCACCGCACCTGCGAGCCCCGGCGAGCCCCATGGCCTTGGGCTTGGGGCAGCACAGTGGCCTCAGCAGTCACCTTGTGGCAAGAAAGAATGTGAAAGCAAGCCCCTGGCCACCCAGGCACAGGCACATGTCAGCCAACTCCCTTCCTTCCTGTCCCTCTTCAGGGATGGTGGCCCGAGGGACAGGCCATGGGGGTCCTCAGCCACAGATGAGCCCACAGACTGGCTGTTCCAGTCCAGAGCTTGGTGCCAGCTGAAACCAATGGAAAATTTTCCACCGTGTGATTACCAAATCACATGCCTGTGCAGCCAGTCACAGAATAGCTTTGAGAAGGCAAGTGGATATAACCAAGGGCAGGGACCACTTCTGGTCTGCACTTCCATGACACCCAAGGTCTCTGGCGATGACCAGGGCACCAGTGCACTGCCACATTTCAAGTTCAATAAGGATGTTTGTTGAAGAAAGGCATTCTCCAGACCCAATCTGCATGAGGCTCTCACCATTCTAAGTGATCTACAAATTTTAGCAACAAGAGTCCCGTTTTATCTGGGACTGATCTCCTAAGAGGAGGAATAACACCCTGCACTTGGTGTCCACATCAGAAGCCCTGCAAACTTTATTAACCTGTTTAACTCGACTCCAGTGGTAAGACAATCACTTAGAGTAACTCCCCTCCTGTCAGCTCTCTGTCCTGGGCTGTGCACCACGGGAAGCATAATCTAGGTGTGCAGCCTGAACAGCCCAGCCCCTTTTCCAGCACTGTTAGCTGGGTAAAGAAACAGGAGCCTCTGACAGGGAGCTCTGGTGGTGGGGTGATGTTTTGCAAGATTGCAGAAGATAGCAGGGAAATCAGCAGGTGATGGCAGCCCTGTTGCTCCCAGCTCCCATCTCCTCTCCTCTCCCTCTGTCACCACTGCATACAACCACAGGCATCCAAAGTCTCCTTACCAAGCCAGCTCCTTCTGTACACTGATGGACTCTAGCCATTCACACTGCCCCTTCCCCACATCTTTCAGATGGCAGCTGGGCTCTGTGTCCCCACAAGTCTGCTCCTCTTCATTCCCACCCCATCCTCATCCACCATTAAACCCCCGTCCTGTTTCCATGAATCCCCAAGGCAAGCCCCTAGCTCTTACCTGTGCTCTATTGCCTCCTGATTGCTGCAGTTCATACCTTAACTTACCCCAGGCTCCTCTCATTCCCCACTGCCACACACCCACAGCCCCACTAGCCCAAACCTCCTTGCACAGAACCCCCTGATGAGTCCCTGACATCCTACAGACTCACGGCACCATCACCTTTCCTTACCTCCCCAGACAGTCACCAGGCACCTCAGGGCAGTGGAGAAAGTATCATGGATGCTGAATTGCTCTGATCAACTTCGGGTGTCAAAGCTACACGTTTGAAGGGCGAGTAGTAGGCTTGCAGTGGGGAGGCCAGCAAGGATTGTGCACTGCAGCATTTGCCCCATGGGAACTGCCCCTCCCCACTGCAAGCCCTCTCGCAATACACTTCCTTTTACTGTAAGAGCCCTCCAAGGGAGGTGCTTCAGCACAGGCACTCGGGCCTCCTGCTTGGTTACCAAGCTGCAGCCTGCAGATAAGGCTGCAGCAGCTGCGGGGACATTCAGCATCTTGTCCACTCCCCGTACTGGACATGTAGGTGGCACAAGGGGAGGAGATACCACACGCACACACAGCTGTGCACACCCACCCAACTCACCAACTCAGCTGCGATTTAGAAGGGCTCAAGTCCAGAGTGATGACGGGCTGGGCAGGTATTTGGGCCATCAGGGTGAGGCTTTGTCCATTTTTGATTTTAAAAAGATGGACACAGTCAGGGCTACTGCAGGGAAGTTGTATTTCCACCATGAATTCAATGTCCTGCTTCTTGTCATAGAGAAGGAAAACGTCTTTCCTGTTAGATTGAAGGTGAAAGACCCTGCTGGATATGAAAAAGGGTGACACAACTGTCATCCAAACATTCACGTTGCCCACAATGAAAGCAAACACAGCCCTAAGAAGGGAAAGATGGGGATAATAGGGACTGTAGGCATATCCATGTGAAGGACAGCAGGAGACACAGTTCAGCTCCTATTACACCCCCTGAAACTGCAAACCTGGTCCACATAGAGTGAACCACCCCTGGGGCCCCACAGACAGCAGAGGCAACTAAGTCAAAAACATCTTGAGCCTGGTGGTTGATCCATGCCCTGAGGACAGATGTCCCTCTAGACCTGACCCTCCTAGGGAGACAGAGCCTGTGT